GTTTTACAAAAGTAGGTATCTTGTTAATCACAACAGTATTTTTGTTCATTGACATGTTTTTATGAACAAATTGTAAAAAATGCTCTAAAAACTTAGAAAAAGCACGTCAAAAAAATCGTCAAAAAATGCGTTTAAGGTTAATTTTATCAAAAATGCTATACAAAATTATTTTAAAATAATCAGTACTTTTTTAAAAACGGCTAATAATAATAATAGAAGTTATATAATATATAGTATTATATAATTAAAAAACCATTGCCACTTAATTTGAAAACGACTAAAATGGCTTTGGTCGAAACGGGTATCTGAGTGAAACGGGAAAAGTTKATGATTTTGGGCGAAACGGGTGCCACCCGTCGAACACAGTATAAAGGTGTGACAGCGGTCACCACTTTTTAAGGGGTGGGTAGGTCGTAGGTACCATACTACCGTTAGGTGTCACMTTTGCCAAACAAAAATAGCAGTACCTAATAGTATATTAACATTGTATATAGTAAAATTGTATAGCACTATACCTAATAAAGCAATTAATAGTAGTATAGCCACAAATTAAGATATCTTGTATACAATTTGTATGCCTGTATTCTATTAGTAATATAATAAGCGGATTAGGTATATAAATAACATGCAAGACGGTCTCGGTGACATGTAAGTGCATTCGCAGTTTTATCTTTCTATTTTGTCTTAATAGTTTCATTTAATTTACTATTGATAACAAGTCRATCTAATTGGCACCTAATCGTATCCTTTACTCGTCTTTGCATTGGTCATAGCTTACTTCCTCACCATTCTTCTAAACTTAATCTGAACTCTTCCCCTCTYTGTACACTACATCACGACGAATCGATATGCGATCTTGATCACATCCTTTTCAATTGCCCTTCTCTCATAACTAATAGACAACTCCTTTCCTCTTTTCTTTCTTTTTTAGGCTATATTTCTCCCGATTCTAATATTCTTCTCAACTCCCGTTACATCCCTATCATCCGTTCTCTTATCCAATTCATTCATACCGCTGGCTTCCTCATTTAACGCTAATATTTAATTACATTGTCTGTTAATTTTTTTTGTCTGTTATTTGTTTTGATACATAATTATTTTATAATTGCATTGCTATAATTATTTTTTAATAAAAGGAAATTTAAAAAAAAAAAAAGATAACAACCGACTATCAGCACCCAGCGATAATTATTGGGAAAAAAATACGCAGTACGTGAGACGCTCCTTACAACTGGGCAGCATCTCTTCACTATGTTCAATGATATTTGTGAAGAAATGAAGTTAAACTGGAGACAGCATCTTGTTGGTCAGTYATTTGTTGGAGTTGCGAGACACTTATAATGGACTTTAAGCGTTCATTAGAGAAAAAAATTCAAGTGYAATATATGTTTGGTGTTGTGCACGTCGTTTTAGCTTGGTTATTGTGGTTGACGCTTTAAGTAGTTAGGCCTTGAAGCCCGTGATTTGTTTGGGAACCTAGAGCTACTGTTTGATTTTATTGGAAGTAGTAAAAAAAGAATTGGTCTTTATTCTAATTTTCAAAAAACCCGTTACCTGGAAACCATATACCATCATAGTTATTATGATATACTTGTCCAAATTTACAAATCCCTTTTTCAAGTAAGAGGAAGTATAACTGTGGCCGTTCACAATAAGCCATTAAGAAAAATAAATAATTCAAACAACGAAGATTCTGGTGAAAATAAAATAGTACATACGTACAAATAAAAATTACGGGAATCGTATAGTAGGCTTATGGGTATTCGAAATTTACTGGGAATGGCCAGATTTATTATTAGAATGGTGATTTTTTATTATAGAAAAACGAGACCGAGAAACTCTTTTATAAATTATTATTGTTGGCCAACGATATCAACAATTCGATACGATAAGGATATCGTGGGTACTTTCCGAATAATTTCAATATCGAAATCTAATAATAGTTATCGAAAATATTGCGATATCGGCTCGGAACAATAAATTTGACGGATATTCACTTTTATTACTTTTATCTACAATATAATAAATTTAATAAATAAATAAATAAA